ATTGGCCCAAGTGCCACAATTCCAGGACATAAATTTTGCAGAAGAGTAGATACAGTATCAAAATATGGGGATATCGTACCTTCGTCTGAGACTCAATTTTTGTCTGTTGTTTGCTCTCCTCGAATGTGTGCAAACAAGGATAGCAATAATTTGGTTATAACTACATCCATGCTATCCACTAGTCCCTTGGCGATTAAAGCTGAAAGTTCTAGCAATGTATCAGGTGTTGAAAACAATAGCATGTAAGTTGAGATAATCAACATATTCTGATTCAGTTTCGTTTCATAGTTTGCGTTCATTTGCTAGACACACCGTTCAAAAGGAGCTTTGTTTCTCATCTCCTTTTTTTTAATATCGATGTGTTTCTAGATTTGTAGACACACCGTTCAAAAGGAGCTTTGAATCTCCTTCAGCGTGGAGATCCCCTTGGTTTATCAACTCTTTTGTACCAGGCCCCAGAGTTGATACAGAGATAACAATCGAGGTATTGGAAAATGGTTATGGTCAAATAATTTGTTTAAGCTACTACATAAATATATCTTCTGGTTAACTCTGCTTTTCTTATTTTTTGTAGGACATCGGCTATTTTATGAGCCCAGGGGATCAAAGTTATGATGCCATTGGATTAATGAGGCAGTTAGGCGAGCAGACAGCAGCTGCATTGGCAGATGCCCAGGAGATTTTGGGAGATGAAACTCCTCAAACAATACTGAAGGAAAAATGCTTAAAAGACCTGGAGGAAGAAGAGGATAACAATAGCTGTCAGACAGGCTCGACTTCAAATGTCTTGGTATGATCGTTGTTGTTTATCTTATTTCTCTTAGTTATAAATTGCGCTTAACATGGTCTCGATCACTGCTTTTCCTCTTTCTGTAAATTATGATTACACATTATGCTGTTGTAAGACATGATTGATGCATCTTTTTCCTGGTGCTGTAAAGTCATCAACAGTTTCAATTATGATATGCATCTACTACAATGTTATGTAATCTTGCTTATGAGTTATGCGAACTCCTGACCAGTTGAGAATCTTCAACCCTCAACCCCAAAAGAAAGACCACGTTACAAAGTTGCAAATAGTTGTTTGCCATGCTTCTGTTTCTAACTAAAAAGGAGATGCATTTCCATCATTTGGTGGTGAAATTAGTTTCATCAAAGTAACTCAAGTTGAAAATATCAAGAATTTTCTCGTGAAATTTTTAAACTTCTCGAGCTCATGTATTACTTTCATGATGAACCAGTCTTAGAGTTACACTTGAGAGGACTGAATATTGTTTTTTCAATGAACTTGTGCAATATGCTTGCTGACATTTCAAGATTATTTATATTTATCCTATCAAAAACTTATTTGGAACAAACCTTTACAGACGGAGAGGCGCACCCTTGATTTTAGTGATTGCGGGACACCAGGAAAGGAAGCAGGAAAGCTGTCTAGCAGCATTGTTTTCTCTAGTTCCTCTTCCCATCTCTTGAAGAGTTTCAGGTGAAAGGCTCCCATGGCCGAGGCATTTTACTGTAAAATCAGAGAGTCTATACACGTCTCATTTGATTAGTGTATGAATTGAATTATTCAGTTGTCTGAATTTTGTCAAAGTATGTGGAGTTCTTATTTTAATTATCCATAAGGCATTGTTTTGCTGAACTTTTATCATAATGATTATCTTCGCTTTCAAAATGTAATTTTTATTTCAACAATCATTTTAAATG